GATTAGCTTGAGCAACCTGGAATGTAAATATGTGCCACTAATCTGTGTTCCAAGGAGTCAAAAGGAAACCTAAAGTGAGACACATTAACATTTAAATTAAAAGCACATATAACTATTTGATTTACTATTCTGATTTTAATCAACTCAGAAGTAAATTTGATAAAAATTGGTAGGAATCATAGTAGCAATTAGGATCTGAGCTTGATAAAGAGTTATATCCCCCCAACCCCCCCCCACAAGCTGCAGGTGTACATATTGTATTTTAGAGTAAATTGGTATAACCTGGTTATTGTCCATTTCCATTTTTGAGTTACTGAATTCTGTGGAATACAGTCCTTGAATTAATTGATTTTGATTTTCCAGTTACGGTTGCCTAAAGAATCAGGCCCTGAGAGTCATAACCATGTGCCATGAAGTGGGAATTAGTTATGTGTCATGTTTTGATAGGTTCATTCATTCATTCATTCTGTGCATTCTATTAAGCACCAACTGGGGCTCTATGTGTGTATTAGTCAATCAGACAGTCCTTGCCTTCATGGAGCATGCCTTCTGATGAGGAAACACAGCATATGTAAGTAAACATGAAATTAAATGTCTCAGTGCAAATTGTGATATATGTTATGATGAAAGCAAACAGAATGCAGGGAGAGTTAGAGAGGCGTGAGGTCAGCCTCACAGAGGGAATGGTATGGGTGAAATCACTGAGGTGCAAAAGAGCTTGATGTTTTGAGGGTGTTGAGAAGTGGAATGCAAGCCAGTGTGCCTGGAACATGGTCAGGAGGAGGAGCTGGCATCAATGACGTGCGGGTGACCAGCAGTGACCATGTCATGCAGAACTTTGCAGGAAGTAGATGGATTCTGATTTTGAATCACTGTGAAAAGATCATTATAATTGATTTAAACATTTGACTACAGTGGTTCCCCTCATCCGAGGTGCTTTCCATGGTTTCAGTTACTGACAGTCAACTGCAGTCCAGAAATATTAAATGGCAAATTTCAGAAATAAACAATTCATAAATTCTTAGCGGCGTGATGAAATCTTGTGCCTTCCTGCTTCATCCCTCCTAGATGTGAATTGTCCCCTTGTCCAGCATGTCCATGCTGTAGACAGTACCTGGCATTGGTCACTCAGTAGCCATCCGGGTTATCAGATTGACTGTTGCACTGTCATAGTACTGCATTGCTTGTGCTCAGGTGACTCTTATTTTACTTCATAATGGCCCCAGTGAGCAAGAGTAGTGATGCTGGCAATTCAGATATGCTAAAGAGAAGTTGTAAAGTGCTTCCTTTAAGTGAAAAGGTGAAAGTTGTTGAATTAATAAGGAAAGAAAAAAGACTGTATGCTGACATTGTTCTAAGATCTATGGTACAAACAACTTTTCTGTGAAATTATGAAGAAGGAAAAAGAAATTCATGCGTAGCATATACAGGGTTTGGTACTATTCACAGTTTTAGGCATCCACTGGGGTCTTGGGTAAGACCCAAGGATAAAGGGGAACCCCTGTAATGCAATTTCTGGTCTGAGAGCATTGAATGAATAGAGACTGTGTTCTTGCTAAATGCTCCATAAGTTAAATATTAAAATTCCTAAGTTTGATTCATTTTTTTTTCCTGTGGGAACACAGTTCTACATGGTTATATATGATTATAGGAAGATAGATTTTTGATATTCAAAATTTCAGGTAACATTTTATTTAGAAAAATATAGTAAATCAGAAAATGAAGCAAACCCGAGTTCTTTTCTGTTGAAAAGAAGGCAGCATGGATGTACAACTTCCTGTTCTCTCAGACTGTTCAGGGAAAATTTTCCCTGTGCCTCTGCATTTTCTGTATATAGTGTGAGTGAGTCACTAACTGTTCTTTGTTATGGAATATCTTTTCTAGGATGTTTGAATAGCAAACAGTTTTGAATGGTAAGAATAGTACCCTTTTTCAAGCAAAGTGTAGTTTTGCTTATAGCCTTGGAAAATAGAGATAGTGTTTCTCTCCAGAGCAAACAAAGGACAGGTAGGCTTAATACCGATTATAGAAGATTGGGATTCCTTAAGCTCAGGGTATCTGTCCTGAAATGAAGCCCACTGTTTGTACAAGCATCCATCTGGGCCTACCTGCGTTGCTCCATGGGCAAGGGGAACTGACACAAATACACTGATGCTCATGCCACTTGCTGTGTGGTGAGTAATAAAGTCCTTTGTCTCTGACTCAGAAGTCTTGTGTCTTCTGCCAGCTTCTATGAAACTGGCAGGCTAACTTGTTGACTTATAAGTGGGTAAGATCCTTCTCAATTCTTGAGAGACTCCTCAGCAATCTGAGCTGGCAGATACTGTGTCAGGCAGGTGATACCCTAGTGCTTTGCAGCCTGCAGGATAACCTATTAGCATTTTTTCTTGTTATCGCTTTTCTCCTCCAATGTCACAAGATGAGCGATTCTCAGACAATCACATCTTTAAGTGTGACTTCTATTCCAAAATACATGTGTGAAACCTATCAGCTACTAATTATTCTGCCTTGAATATTCTTAACCAAGTGGTAGAATATTTCAAGAACAGAAAGAATGCTATGTTAAAATTTTAGGACCATTAAGACATAAAATATCTTAAAATTATACTTGATTTAAAATTAAAAATTGTGTGTGTGCTTGTGAAAATGTAACCTAAGCATATTTCCATGAAGGATTCTTACTCGATAACCACTAAAGGACTAACACTATGGTTTCTCAGTGTTCACAGAACCATTATTGTCTCCCTGCAGGATATTCATGGGTTTGGGCTCTCACCTCCTCCTGACCAAGAATCTGAGGAGCATGCACTGCTGCTACTGCTGTCGGAGACCGTGAGGTATTGCCCTGGCAGCTGAAGGAGTGGTCACTAGCCATGTGTGGCTACTTGACACTTGAAATTTGGCTAGTCTGAATGGAAATGTGTTGTAAGGTTAAATTATACACCAGATTTCAGACTTAGGGCATAAAAGGAATGTAAAATATCCTAGTAATTATTTTAAAAACTGATTAGGTTTGAAATGATAGTATTTTAGATGTATTAGGTTGAATAAAAATATTATTAAAATTAATTCCACTTGTTTACTTTTACTTATTTCAATGTGGCTACTAGAGAATTTAAAATCACATGCATAGCTCTTCTCATATTTCTATTGAACAATGCTGTTCTAGATCCTTGCTACTCAAAGGGCAGTCCTCTGGCCAGCAGCATCAGCATCATCTGTAAGCTTGTGAGAAACGTAGAATCCCACACCCCACCCCAGATCTACTGAGTCAGTCTGCATTTTAACAAAATCCCATGTGATTTGGACACACATTGAAGTTTCAGTAGCAGATAGTCCCTGACTAGGATTGCCAGATTTAGCAAATAAAAATACAAGATGCCCAGTTAAATTTAGTTTTCAAATAAATAATGAATTATTTTTTAATGTAGGATGGGACATACTTATATTAAAATTATTTGTTGTTTTCCTGAAATTAAAATTTTAACTGGGTATCCATTAGTGCATCTGTCAAACCTACCCAAGACTAAACTCTTCCTGTCCAGACCTGTCTTGTTACTTGAAATTTCATAGAATCAGGAGAAGGACAGAAAGACAAAAGGGAAGATGAAGAGAGAAACTTGGGTGAAATGTAAGAAAAGGGAAAAGAAAAGAAAGCATGAGGGGAAGTGGGAATAAGATGGGTCATGGAAAGACCACATTTAAGGCCAATGACCTTTATTTTACAATTTTTATTAGTAACTTTCTTCCTTATTTTTGCATCCCCCCACTTCCAGCAGTCATAGTGCTTTCTCTCCTCTCCTCGTTTTCTATAGGGGTCTCTAGTGCCACGTTTGGAGAAAGTGGTGTGTGCGTGCAAAGCTGGTGGTGAGGAAGGGGAAAGGATCCTCAGAGCCAAGTCCCCAGCCTTCCTGTAATCCATCATTTCTCTGAAATATCACTTAACAAATAGTGCTTTTCAGCTACCAGTAGATTGCTAGTAAAGAAAGGTTTCTAAGTGCCCCAAATGCTGACACTCTCATTTTGGAGGATTTTCTTTATTGTAGCATTTTATTTTAGTTTAGTTTTTTGTGTCTGGCCACAGGGATTGAACCTGGACCTTGGTGACCATGCTCTAACCAACTGAGCTAACTGGCCAGCCCTAATATGGCATTTTTATTATTATTATTATTTTTTTAATGTAAAACAACTCTTACGGATTTTGTTGTTTGTTTTTCGGGGGTAGCGAGGTGGGAGTGGAAGCTGTTAAAGAAGGAATAGCAATAGGTATTTTTTTATTTAGCTAAGCACTGAAATACGAAGAATCTTTTTCATCTGCGATCATTTAATCTTCATACCAATTCTTGAAGTACTTTTGTCTCCAGTCTTGAGATGAGGGAAAAAAAGCTCAGGAGGGAAAATTACAGCCAGCTGGTGAGGGCTGGAGCTGGGCATGCATTTGAGTGTTGTCTGACCCCAAAGCTAGTGCTCTTGACCATTACAATTCCGCATCTCTCAACAAATGGAGAGTCTTGAAATCAACACGAAAATGTCAGCTAGGACGTACATATAAATTTAAGTATGTTCCAGAGATTTTTATTTATTTACCCACCTAAAAAATGCATGTAACATATATACTTCGTAGATTTGGGGGAGAATTTAATAGCTTCCTGAAACGTGCTATGAAAATCTTATTATGAGTTACATGACAGTACCAAAACAATGCAAGTTTGTAAAGAGAGCTTAACTGGTAAATGTATTCTCTTTAAAAATCTGCTCCCTAGTAATCTTTCAATGAGATAGATAGCTAAAAAACTAAATATTGTTTTCACTCTATACTCTAAATCAAACACTGTCAGGCCCCTCCCTTCTGCTCCCCTACGTAATGCATCCTAGGAATGCTGTCTTTTTATTGGTCGACTATGCTGTCAGTCACATGGCATGAAAAGTACTGCCTCTGCTCTGTTTGCACTTTTGAATTAGTAGATGTGCTTGGTTTGAAGAAACTGATTCATTTCTTGATGGGAAAAAAAATCTTGTTTAGTTTTTCTCTTATTTTTTTGTGTATGGGATTTTTACTCACTTTGGACCAGATATTTGCCAGGAAGTATGTAGGGTAAGTGATTGCACATCTTTTCATGCAATACATTTGTGGACTTCAGTGCAAGTATGAAATTAGGTGGTCCTGTAATTTCTTTATATTGTTGTATATCTATGTTTGTCTATGATTCAAAATGGATAGACAATAGTAGATCACACAATTAGGTAGTGAAATTATTTGACTGGACTTTAAGAGTTAAAAATATAGTCTGTATTATAAGAGGCAAGGATTATTTGCTCAAAATGCCCAAGAAACATTTGTATTATGTATCTAAGTATATATCTGTGAGAAAATGACTCCTCAAATGTCTGTTCAGATTTTTTTATACATACTTACAAGTAAATGTTAATTTCACAGTTTCTTCTGCCATTACGTATGAAGAGAGTAAGAAAAACATTTTAAACATTAGAAATATATAACTTGTCTCCCAAAGAAAAGGTGTTAAATAATTTTAACAGGTAGGAAATGGTAATTGTGTGTGATATACAATATTTGAAATTAATAAGCAAAATTTCGATTTCATTTCCATTGTCCCTTTGGCTTCTTTTCATACCACATAAGGAACATACAGAGATTTATCTGTGAAAAAGGATATTCAGAATCTGAACAGCAATAAATTTATGTAATGTCTCTTAATTACTCATTATGTGCCATCTCAACAAATGCATCAGGGAATTTAGTGTGAACACAAAGGACAGCAGCAAGCAGGATGATCTGGTGAAACTTGTGGGAAAGAATCCTAAGTTACCAGCTGATAAAAGCTATAAGTACAGGCATTTAAAATGTTTTTCTTCCATTGTTCCCAAATCAATTGGTGCTTTCCTTCAGGTTCATTTTTAAATAGTAAGTGACTTATATACCTTAGGTGATTAAAGCTTAGTAACGTTTTCCCACCTGGCTTATAAAAAAATGACTGACAACGTATTACACTGGTAAAATGTACACCAAAAATTGTACAAGGTATGATTTTCATTTTCCATTTTGATTTCAGAGTTGGCTCTTTAATTTGTTAGTTCATTCATGCATGTAACACATTTTTAAAATACTTGGTCTTTTAAATAGCTAGGGACTGTGCTACGTATTGGGTCTACAAACTAGGCATAGTCCCTGCCTCATAAATGAGAGGGAACTAAATCTAGTGGGGAGGTGCTCATTAATAAAATGATATATATTATGACAAAAAAAACTGAAACATGTTGTGAAAGAAAAGTATAGAAGGCAATGAGCACATTTTTTGTTTGTTTTGTTTTTCTTTTTGGGGGGTGGTTGGCTGGTACAGGGATTGAACCCTGGACAATGAGCACATTTAATAGAAAGATCTGAACTAGTCTGAGAAGTTAGGGACCACGCTCCTGAAGAAGTGATATTTGAGCTGAAATTGGGAGGATATGTAGAAAATAACTAGGAGGATGGAGAACACTCCAGGTAGAGGGAACAGCATGTGCTAAGACTCTCATGAAGGAAGACAAGAACATGAAGATTTCGGGGAATTGAAGAATGCTGTTAGCTGGAGAAGAGGGAAGAGGTGAAATGAGGCAAGCAGAGTTGGTGGGCTGAGGTCTTCCAGGGCCTTGTAGGCCCTGGTGGGAATGTGGTTTTTGTTCTAAATAGTACTGTGAAGGAACTGCTTCACCATCACGTTCATCTTCATGAAGGAATATGGTACCAGTTACTACAAACCTAAGGCTCTTGACTGCCTTTCAGGTATTGCAGAGATCCCTTTTACTGGAAAAGGGTCTCAATATTTTAGTGACAATGTAGGTTTAATTTTCTTGAACCAGTGTTTCTCAGTTTATTCACATATTATATATATACACATATTTAATGTTAACATTTACATATACATGTTTGTGGGGTACAGTGTGTTGTTTCAATACATGCATATACTGCACAATGATTCACTTAGGGGACACAGATAATTTTTAACCAGAAAATTTTTTAGTTCCTACTTTAGTTCAGAGAGTATGAAGTGATGGAGAAATGTGTGTGCATTTTGTCTTTTGTTGAGATATGGCTCTCCATAAAACCTCATTAGTTTGGGCTTATGGGTATGAGCAAGGCCTATGTGAATTACAGTTTATTTAAAAAAGAAATATAGCAGCATTATTGTATGTTCAGACCAGGGACTCATTGAAATGACAATAAACCTGTGTTGTCTACTACAAGTCTTTCATTAGTGAACACATGGAAATTTTTAACTAGCTGAGCAAAGCCTCAAGGCAAGCATATTAATAATACTGCAGCTCATTCATTCATATACTTTTTTTCAATAAACATTTATTAAACTCCCCTACTATCTAGACATATCTAAATGGTTTGATACATTTTATCTTATTTAGGTAAAATATAATCTCATAGTTTTCTGTTTTTGTTCATTAAGATCTTTAAAAATTGAACATATAACCCTGTGTTATGAAATAAGATTTTTGAATAAAGTTCAAATTAAGGAAATTTTTTTTTAAGGATATGAACGTTTATTTGTTCAAATAACAAATACATAAACTAAATAATAGATGAATAACAAAATACTCTGTAGAAAGTAGGGCTTCAACTTTTCACAAAAACTGGAGATGTAAAACATTAAAATTTACATATTTCATTTTATAATCTCTACATTTATTCAAAATAGCTTCCTAAAGTCTTCCAAAAGCATGCAAATATCAAAGTAATTTCAACAGAGGGAGATGAATAAATTTTTTTTTTCTTTTCAGTCTCTGGAAAATTATTTCTTTTTTTATTTTTATTTTTTATTTTTATTTTACTTCTCAAAACACATTGTAGTTGATTTTCATGCCCTTTTACCTGTTCCGCTCCACACCCTTCACTCCACCACACCACATCGTATCTGTTCCCTTGACTTAAATAGTTCAAGGAATTTTTGGAATTTTTGTGATTATTCTGTCTGCAACGGGATCGCAACCCTCGGTGTTGCGCCCGCACCTTGCTCAGCCAGTGAGCGGGAACCGGTCTGTATGTGGGATCCGAACCCTCGGTGGGAGTGCCACCGCGCTCCCAAGCGGTGCACTGTAGCAGTGCGCCACTGGGTCGGCCCCTTTTATTTTTATTTTTTAAAAATTTTTAAAATTTATTGAATCGAAATTTATTATACATATTTTTGGGGTTGAACATTGAGATATGTTGATTAAATCAATATTACTAGCATATATATTGTTACAAATCGTAATTATTCTTTATGCCCCTTGTCCAATCTCTCCCCTCCCCCCATTCCCTCCCCTCCCCCCTCTAATTGCCCTATATTTCTTCTCTCCTTCTGAAAGAATCATGGTTACTCTGTTAATTTGTTGCCTAGATGATCTGTCCAATGCTGAGAGATGTGATCGGGTCCCCCAATATTATCATAGAGCAGATGCTTCTTCTGTCACTCCGAAATGGGTTTAGTGGAAAGAGACATCCTCTTCTTTTCTTTGTCTCTGCTGGTGACTCTCCTTGTGTCAATGTACTTCAGTGGTTGGCAGACCATCTGCGTGGTTGTTGTGTCTAGCTGCTTCTGCAGCAGCCATGGTTATTGTGGTGGCTGTGGTGGGCCACCCACGTGGAGGTGCTGTTTTTGGTATGCTCCTTGGCACTGGTGGTATGCTTGGTTGTGGTGTGTGTTTGGTCCCCTTCTCCATGCCTCTGGTCCCTGGGCAGGCCCCAAGGTGCTGGCACCATGTGCCTAGTTGTGGGAGAGGGGTCCAGTCCCCCTCTCCATGCCTTGGGTCCCCAGGTGGGCTCCAAGGTGCTGGCATGTTGTACCTGGTTGTGGGAGGGTGGTCTCGTCCCTGACTCCATATCCCAGGTCCCTGGGTGGGCCCCAAGGTGCTGGCTCAGTGTGCCTGGTTGTGGGAGAATTGTCCAGTTCCCTTCTCCATGCCCTGGGTCCCTGGGTGGGGCCCAAAGTGCTGGCATGGTGTGCCTGGTTGTGGGAGAGAGGCCCAGTCCCCTTCTCCCTGCCTCAGGTCCCTGAAGCACTGGCAAGAGTGCCTGGTTGTGGGAAAGAGGACCATTCCCCTTCTCCTTGCCTCGGGTCCCCAGGCAGGCCCCAAGGTGCTAGCATGGTGTGCCTGGTTGTGGGAGGGGGGTCCAGTCCCCTTCTCCATGCCTCAGGTCCTTGGGCAGGCCCTGAAGCACTGGCATGGTGTGCCTGGTTGTGGGAGAGAGGTCTGGTCCCCTTCTTCTTGCCCCAGGTCCCTGGGTGGGCTCCGAGTTGCTGGCATGTTGTGTCTGGTTGTGAGAGAGAGGTCCGGTCCCCGACAACATACCCTGGATCCCTGGGTGGGCCCCAAGGTGCTGGCTCAGTGTGCTTGGTTGTGGGAGAGAGGTCCAATCCCCTTCTCCACACCTCGGTTCCCCAGGCAGGCCCTGAAACACTGGCTCAGTGTGCCTGGTTGTGGGAGAGAAGTCCGTTCCCTTTCTCCTTGCCTCGGGTCCCTGGGCAGGCCCCAAGGTGCTGGCGTGGTGTGCCTAGTTGTGGGAGAGAGGTCCGTTCCCCTTCTCCATGCCTTGGGTCCCTGGGTGGGCCCTGAATCTCTGGCACGGTGTGCCTGGTTGTGGGAGAGAGGTCTGGTCCCCTTCTCCTTGCCCCAGGTCCCTGGGTGGGCTCTGAGGTGCTGGCATGTTGTGCCTGTTTGTGGGAGGGTGGCCTGGTCCCCGACTCCATACCCCGGGTCCCTGAGCAGGGCCCAAGGTGCTGGCATGGTGTGCCTGGTTGTGTGGGGGGGTCCAGTCCCCTTCTCCATGCTTCAGGTCCCCAGGCTGGCCCCGAGGCACTGGTTCAGTTTGCCTGGAAGTGGGAGTAGGGTCTGGTCCCCAGATCCAAGCCTCCGGTTCCCAGGCAGGCCCCAAAGTGCTGGTGGTGTGCCTGGGCCAGAACTAATTTTTTGTCCTTTGCTTGCTTCTAAAACAGGGGAATTTCCTGTGGGAACCAGTATTTGAGCTGTGTGGTTGAGGTAGATTGCTACTTTGCTGCTATTTCCCTAGGGAAGGCTTTTTGTGCAGCTCTGGGTTTAATGGTTGACCTTATAGGTACTTCTGGCTCTCCAGAGACCTGGTGGATCTGTGTTCTGTAAAATCTCTGATCTGGGCCTGAGTTTTTTTATCAAATTGCACCCCATGCAATTCTGCATTCCTCTGAGTGGTCTTGTGCTGATTGGGGGGCAGATCAGCTGTCCTTGCTGTGTCCCAGTGTTCTCCCGGTGGGCTCGCCTCCCCCACTGCCCATGCTGCGAGCACTTCCCATGGGCCGTCCCTCCACGGGTCCCTTGCA